AACGCGAGCGACGGGCTGCGTGGACTCCAGGTCTTGGGTGTTCGGAGGCTTTGGAGCCCGCACGGCCGTCGGGCAACCGGCGCGTGGCTCCGCCTAGCGGTGATCGATCGCTTGCTCTGTGCTAGCGTGAGTCCGGGGCTCCTGTGGGTCTCTGTGGCGCAATCGGTTAGCGCGTTCGGCTGTTAACCGAAAGGTTGGTGGTTCGAGCCCACCCAGGGACGCGTGCTGAACTTTTAGAAAGTGGGTCCTGCTCTGTACATCCCCTCTCACCTCTACGGGAGAGAGGCTTCTTCCCCTACTACATTCTAGATACTGTGTCTTGTGCACAACAGGAGGACCTTAGAGCCTAAGATCTTCACACCCTCTCAAGAGAGCTCGGGTGGAAAACAGCTTCGCGGTAAATCCGGAAATCCTCGTTTGTTTGTACTAGGATTTATTGAACCTTTTCCATACACTTTTCAAATTAAGTTGGTTCTGTCATTATAGGGTTACAAATAATGCTGTAGCCATCATTCTTGCGTGTATATCTTTGGCCATTCGTACAAGGATTTCTATAGGGTAGAGTCCCGGACGAGCAATTGCTCCATCGCGGCGTTTACATGGTTTCTATATGACTCCGTTGTCTTTCCTTTGTCGGCTTATTAGCTAGCTAGTTTCAGCGACTGTTTTAGGCCTTATGGCACACATCTGTGGAATGGTGCATGGTGAACGTGGGAAAGCTTGGATCAAAAAGCAATGATTTATTAGCAAACTATTGGAATTACACACACACACACACCCCACCCCCCAACCCCCACAGCCAGTTTGAAGGAATCCCCACAGGCATGAGTTGTGATAATCAGCTCATGAAAAAGAAGTGTGATTTTTGTGCAGGTTGTCAGTAAATTATGGTCTGCTGACCAAATTCAGCCCACAGCCTGTTTTTGTAAATAAAGTTTTATTGGAACACATCCTTTTACTCATTTATGTATTATCTATGGCTGCTTTTGTGTGACAATGGCAGAATTGAGAAGTTGCAACAGAGGTAATATTGTCTACAAAGCCAAAAATATTTACTATGTGGTGCTTTACAGAAAAAGTTGGCTGACCTCAGTCTAGCAGACTGAAAAAGTGAATTAAGGAATATTGGAGTCAGTAAATTATACCCAAAGAGAAGTCATTTGCAGGCTGAAATATTTAGGTTCAATGATCACGATGTCTGTAACTTATCTTAAAATAGTTAACAAAACATAATTAAGTAGATACAAACCATTCTGATTTCTATGTCCATAGATTAGTGTTGACTGTTTTTGAAATTCTCATATGAAATTACTTTTTTGTTGTCTGTTTTTTTTTTTTCATGCAACATAATGTGTTTTAGATGCATCCACATTATTGAGTGTATTATTTTAGTGTTATTGATGAGTGTTATTCCCGTGTGTGACCATACGGCCATTGAGGGGGAGAGTTAGTTCTTGTGGCTACTGTGAATATGTTTGCTATGAATATATTTGTACAAAGCTTTTCGTAGACAATGAAATTGCTGTGTCATGGGGTATGTGTAAATTTAATTTTATTAGAAACTGCCAAACAGTTTTCCAGAATGGCTGTACTATTTTACCTTTTAAACAGCAGTAAGATATACAATGTTACTCCATGTTCTCATCAGCACTTGGTATTCTCTGTCTTACTCATTCTTGTGGGTGCATAAAGGTATCTAATCATGGTTTTAATTTGTGTTTCCCAAATAAGTAATGACGTTGAGCATCTTTTATGTCTTTTGCCCATTTAGAAATTCTCTTTTGTGAAGAAAGCTTGTTCCAGTATTTTGCTCATTTTTAATGAGCTTGGCTTTTGTTATTAATTTCTAAAAGTTCTCTATATATTCAATATTTGATTAATTTTCAGATAACAATATTATAAATATCTTCTCTCATTCTGTGGCTTGCCTTTTTACTTTATGATTTTTAAATTTTGATGAAATCTAATTTATTTTTTCTTTTATTGTTAAGGCATCTTACTCTAAGACATCTTTCCTACCCCAAGGTTGTGAATATATTTTCCTAAATTTTCTTCTAGAAGCTTTAATGTTTTAATTTTCAGCTTTTAAATATATGATTCACTTCCTGACCTCAGCACAATACTTAACCACCATAGAATCCATGCCTTGCTTGCACACCAGAAACCCAGCCTCCCAGAAAATTTTATAATCTTTGATATAAAAATACTCACAATAGTTTCCTGCTCTGCTCCTTGACAATTACAGATCCGTGTGCTTCCATCCCTCACTCCTTTCTTTTGCTCCCTCTTTTCTTCTCTCTCTTCTTCTTATAGGAGACAGGGTCTTTGTCAGATGTTTTGTGAATATTTTCTCTGTGACTTTCCTTTTCAATTACTGGATATTTTTTGATGAGGAGACATTTTATATATTGTCTATTTTACCATTTTTCTTTTTTACTTATTTTTTTCTGTGTCACATTTAGGAACTCTTCGCCTACCACCAAGTCATAAGGATATTCTCATGTATTTTCTTCTAAGTTTTAGTTTGTAGGTTTGGTTATGATCCAACTCAAATTAGCTTTTGTGTATATTGTGAGGTAAGAATTATGGATTTTTTCACTATGTAGATATCCCATCGTTCCAGCACATTTGTTGAAATGATACTCTTTTCCCATCTGAATTGTTTTAGTGCCTTCTTTTTTGAAAAAAAATTTGACCATATAAGGTGGATCTATTTTAGATGTCTCGATTCAGTTCCATTTATCTATACGTGTATCCTTTCGCCCCTCAACACTGTCTTATTTATAAACAGCTTAATAGTAAGTCTTAGAGTCTTCCAGGTTTGGCTTTTTCACACAGCTCAATAAATTTTGAAATATGTACATACCGAAGTAGGCAGTCAAGATATGCTATCACTTAATCCCTCTCATTTCATTGCACATGCCCTCACATATTATGGCTGACTCTTTAGCTAAATATCTTCTATTGCAGCCTCTGGAGAAAATCAATCTCCAATTACTTTCAGAATTGATTGAGAGATAAAATGTCTGAAACACTCAATAATGACTCTAGATTTTGCTTGGGGGAAAAAAATCATTTTCCAGGCCTTTGGCATAGGGAAATTTTCTTTCTATTATTTATGACCGTGAATACAGTGTCTGATTTGCAATTTTCTGTTCTTTGCAGAGAGCTAGTGTCCCATGGGAGGCCCCTAACTTACTGGACTGAGGGTGGGGGTGCAAATTGGAGGCCGAAGAAGAATTGACTTTTATTGTATAGAAAAGATGACGGGCAGATGGTGACACAAGGTGTAGAGAAGAGTAGGCTGGAACTAGAAAGTTGATTTCAGAATCATACAGTGATTGTCAGATTTTGTAGAAAGGGGAGTTAGATGTTACCTGTCCAAGGAAGCAAAACTTTCGTGGAAACAACCGATATTTAAAGGCCATTTTATCAGGCTTTGTCATTATTTATCACCTTTTTTCCTGTTTTTGTAAAAATGGTACAAAGCAGCCTTCGTGTACTTGTTATATACCTTTGGGATGTGTATTTCAAAGAAAAACTATTAAACTTAAAATACTCATCTTAAGTTCCATCAACAGTGCACTTTTAATAAAATGAGCCCAACTCAAGGGACAAACCTACCTGGCTGAAGTGCCCTTCCTGGGCGTGTGTCATTCTTAACAATAGGTGCTTTTCCTTAGTGTAGTGGTTTTCGTATATATCCCACACCTGAAAGTCCTCAGAACCTGTCAGAAACCGTTTTCTTTGCTAAAGATTTTAAAGTACTCTTACTCCAAGTGCATTAAAAATAAATTTACCAATTGAATCCTTGGAATCCATCAAAAGGGAGCGACGTCGCAGTGCTACAGTTTCAAGTGTTGCCCAACCGGGAGGGAGAAGAAGGGTCGCTTGCTCGCGGGTAGTCAGGCCAAGTCTGTCTGCTTTGATTCCAGCTGGAGACACTCGACGCACCTTCACCAGCGACGCGACGACTGGGTCAGCGGACGCTGACTTCATCTTCACGGTGCTTTTCGATGAGGAAGTCTCAGGATTTCTTTCCTTTCCCTTTGCTCTATTTCCAGCGACTAAGGTAGGAGAAGTGGGGGTGCAGCGGGCTGCGCTTGGGGGTGTGGAGGGAAGAGCGCGTCCAGGTCAGGGCCCCCGAGCCGTCTCGGTTCCTGCACCCCTCGGAGTTCTTTCTGAGGTTGGGAAGTCCGGGGTCTCACCTGGGTGCCACCCCTCCCGCCTCCACCCGCCTCCACCCGCCCACCGGGAGACTCGCTCCGGAACCTGTGGACCCGGGGGCCTCGGGGTGCGTCCGCTGTACGGGAGAGCGCTTGGCATTTCGTGTGGGGCTCCTCTTCTGGAGAAAGTGGGGAGGGAAGGGCTTTCAGGAACAACGCCTTAAAGAGGGGCACGTGGCACTGTGAAAGAAAAAAAAAAAGGAACGGCTTTTCAGGTCAGTGCGAGGGGTAGCTTTAGCCAGAAAGGTCGAAAAGGGGAAACTCTTCGCACTTCCCTGGTGGTCTAGTGGTTAGGATTCGGCGCTCTCACCGCCGCGGCCCGGGTTCGATTCCCGGTCAGGGAACTTCTTTTCTTAACCGCTGTAGTGTCTGCTGATTGGGTTCTGCATTTTCTAAGTGCTAAACTTCAACTTTTTTTCAAGACTGGTGAAGAAATGGGATCAACGATTTATTGAAGATACATTCCGGGAATTGAAACTGCGAGATGAAAAGCAGGGTGAATTAAAAACTCCCATACACACTCCACACCTATTACATAGCCAAACTTTATGATTTCATCCCCCGGCCCCCCATTTAAAACCAACACAAAAATTATCGATCTTTTAGATATAATTTTAAACTTTATTTACCATCAAGCCATCTTGTCATAGTCAATTTTCCCCATAGACTTTAAGTCCAAAAGAGACAAACTGGAAGAACTGCCTAGTATTACAGCAAACTTGAATTCAAGACTCTCTGTTCTCTTCTCTTTTGATTGTTCATGCTTTCTTTCCAGATAAAATTAGTCGCAATAAAAATGTAAGCCCAGCCTTTTTGCTTGCAGTGTTCTTACTGGTCCTAAATTTTGTGCATATGTAGCCGTTGCTTGTGTGGACCTTGAAAAGGAACATATTTGCCAAGAAGGACTCCTGGTGGTTAACTGGGCACAAATTCATAACTAGGCTCTAGTAGCCATTGATCACAGAGGCCTCTCACCCACAGTGCATATCAGGAAAAAGCCACAGAGATGCCAAGCCTCTTGCACTGCGTTCTTGCCGACTGAGCCAAACCTTGTAAGGGAGTTCTTGGAATCATATTTTCACCTATTGGCTGAGACCTGTTCTGTCCCATTGGAGCTGTGCAGCTGTATCTTATCTACATCTGTACTGATCAGTCAGAGCAACTCCATAATAACCAATCAGAATATTTGATTCTAAGAAAACAGGTGGTGCTATTCAGACCAATCAAATTGTGTAAATTTGGATTTCTTATTTGCATAAAAATGGGATCTCCAATCAGGGATCAGGGTGGACAGTTTCTCTATGTAAGTAGGCCTCCCTCATGCCTGGAGGGAGCAGTGGTTTCTTTTGGTTTCTTCTAGAACTGTGGTTCTCCAGTTTGCAAACTGTTTACCTGAATAAAGTTTCTCCTTTTTTGGCACCTTAGAGTGGGGATTCCTGTTAATATTAGGTTAGTGGTGGCAAACTTGACACTTGGATGGTTTCATGGGTATACCCGACCTTTAGGAATTCCAGTGGATGGTGCACAGAGGGTCCCTAAATCCCTCTTTGAAAGTGTTTGCAGATATGAATAAGCACCAGATATAAAGGTAACAGCTTCTGAAGACCTAAGGCTGCTTGAAACCAGAGCAGATTTTTAAAAGCCACAGAGTTGTTGTTTTCATAATTTAATTTTCATTTCGATGGTCACTTCTTTATTTCGATGAGAACTTTAGTGGAAAGAATTTCTTTATTGGATCCTTAATCTTTCTATATTTTTAGTTCTCTTAAGAAAATTTAATGATAAAAAGTTAATGTAATAAATTATAATGAGATAAAATTTGGTAATAAAATTTCACTTCTTACATTATTTACATTGACGTAGTTGGCTTATGCTGTCATGTGTTTCCCACTTTATGACATTACCTGATGAATTATGTTCGACTATGTAGTGATACATAGCATTTTACATATATTTTTCATATATAAATAATATGCATGTACAATGCAACTATTTATAATTCAAAAAGGGAAATATAATGGGAAGGTGTTGGTAACTTCTTTGATAGTGTAGCCTTGAATTCATGCCATATTCTCATATACTTTAGAAGACTGTGCTATAATGTTAAAATGTCATTTTGTGGCCACTTGTGTCGCCCATTTCCTGGCCCAGCATGATGCACAAGAGGAGTGATAATAGGAGAAAATGGCCTTTCAAGGACTTGCCTAATACAACTCTTATTATTACTTGGAATGACATCAGAAAATAAGAGAAAATATTCATATAGAAAAGGGAAATTCTCTACTTTTCCTCTTCCCCAGACCTTAACACCCAATGGAGGAGCTAATACCTCTCATTCTTCACATGATAGGACAGTTACTGAGCTTCCTTTTCCAATAGTTGAGGACCCAGTATATTAAAACACACAAAGAAGAGTGGCTATTACTTGCCCCCCCCCTTTTTTTATCTGAGCATCAAAACTGTCAACTTGGCTGATGTTAAGGGGAGCTCCCAGTTCTACAGCCCCACTCCACCTGCCTTCTTTCTGACCCTCTTCTCTCATAAGACTTGCACCATCAGATTTGTTTGGGGAAGCTTGGTAAAGGTTACTTTGTGTTTAGACAAGAAGGCTTCTGAATTTTGTTGGGGTTTATGGGTCGCTCCTGCTAGCAGAGGCCTGATAACACTTCAGTTAGAGCTGTTGAGATTAAAATTTTTGACTTGCCAATCAATGGGATATTATTTATACAGTGAAACTTTGGACGTCAGAGAGTATAGGCACTCATGCTAAATTTTGACCCATTAACTGGTGGCAAATGTCAGGGGAGTTTGTCCCATTAGCACTTTTTACATGTGACAGTACCCCAAACAGAAGAATCTTCTCTAACACTTTAAGCATGTAACTCATTGATTTCAATTATACGTTTTCATAACTATACACTGAATTGGTTCAGAGGCCTCACTTATAACTTGAACTGGTTTTTTCCCCTCTTTACTGCAAGTTTTATGCATATTCACATTCTCTTTTGCAGGAACACAGACCAAAGAGTTTAACACTTACTTGCATTTGATGGTTTACAGTAGCAGCTGGGAGACCATTTCTCTGTTTGCTGGAGAGACTGGGGAGTTCAAGGAGGTGTGACCAGACTGTGAGGTGAGGTGGAGCATCCTGACCTTCTTAGAACCAAGGTCAGGATGCAGGAAAGAGAGGGATCAGAGGACATGGAGGGAGCAGCCCTGCAACAGTAAGCACAGCTCTGCAACTGCTTTTGGTTTTAAGAGGCCATCTACTCAGTCTCAACAAACTTAACAACTAAAACACTATTTAGGTGGCTGTTTTCGATCTTTCCTTGTCCCTACTCAGCTTCTGAATGTCCATTCACACTTGGAATAGTAGAAGGACCCTTACTTCCCCCTCTCACTCACCACTTGGGAAGCCTTCTCATATCCCCTAACCTGGCCCACACAGTCCCTTCTATCTCTCCAAGAAGGCATTGTGACCTCACTGGCTCCAAATTTGTTAAGCAGTCTAGCAGACCCCACTAGCATAGTAGCAGCTGCTAGGAGTGCTTGTCATACTTTTGTGGAGTTGACTGATAAGGAGACAACAATCTCAAATGAATTGAGGTAGTTAATTACTTAGACACACAACATAGGCACGTGTAGCATGTTGACCATTCTCCATATCCATAATCCCACAGCGTGACATCACACTGGAGGACAAGAGGACACACAAGTAGTGGCTCGCTCTGATATAAAGGAGCCAATTTCACAGTGCAGCTAAGCAGTTTTATAGCTTGTAGTTGCACCGTAGAGGGCGGGGGCAAGGTGGAAATTTTCATGCCTCACCAGAACCAGGGAGGCAGGTGAGAAACTGCCTACTGGTAGCCTGCCCCACGATAGGGAACCTCTCAAGCTAGATCAGTGATAAATAGCCTTACGACAGCCCCTCACAAGACTGCCTGCCTTTCCAGGTTGCAGGAGGGCATTCAGCCAAGATTTGGGTTGCACTACGGTTGAATCCTGCCTATGTGACCTGTGTGGGGAAGTATAAGGTCACTAGAGTGCCACAGCAGAGCCATTTCCCTATGCCTCGAACCTTGAAAAGGAGTTTGGCTAGATATAATATCTTTGATTTGCACTATTTTTTAAATCTAAGTTTTTTGAAAATGCAGCTCCACTGTTGCCTTGCTTTGTATATTGCTACTCATCCAATTCTCTTGATTTTATAACTTATTTTGCAGTTTTGTCTGTGTCATCTTACATCCTAATAGTTTTACTATGATAATGTCTTGAAGTTGGTCAATTCTGGGTCAGTTTTCCTTGATATCTGTTGAGCTCTTTTCATGTGACTCATTATATAAGTAATCTATCATGTTCCTTTTTATAAATCAAGGTTACTAGACTGTTCTCTCTAAAGCCTCATTCCTGTTTAGAGAAAAATCTTTTAAGAAGAAGAAATTACATATCGCAGTACAATTTGTATTCAACAGAGATTCTCAAACAAGTTAAAGTAGTAAAATGACCCTGATGATTTCAACACTGTATTGCCAGATGAGGACTTAAAAAAAATTACCATCAATTTATAAACAAAGTGTAGAAAGACATAATGTCAGAATAAGGAAACCTCTGGATATGAATACATTTATTAAAAAAAAAAGAAATGTCACTGGTTTGAAAGTAGGTTTTAAAAGCCCTTAAATTTTAAGCTATTCATAGATTAAAATATTTTTGAAAGAAAATTAATCACCCGTTGTCTCTAACACATCAACACCCGTTACTCTTAAGGCAAAATCTTTCATAAGAGCTTCCTAATGTGTCAAGAGGTATAAAAGAAAATTGTATAAACAGTTTCTAGATTCTGCAGTTCATTCCCCCTTTTAAAAAATATAATTTTCAGGCCAACCCCTGTTGACACACATGGCCAGGTACTTGGGATCCTTCTGGAACACGGATGGGCCCATGGGACACGCAGAGGCCATGGCAGCTGACCACGTTAACATGATAATTTGATCTTTAGCTTTCTAGCTGTTTTCCTGGAACATTATAAGGGTGAAATATCAACTATGTTGCTAAGCAACGCTGTATAATAAAAAATGACTGCTGATTGAGGATACACTTGGACTGGGAAAAATAATAAGTATCTGGTGAGAAGCCATACTTTGAGTTTTTCTGAACGCAGAGACTCTTGTAACTTGACTTAAATCTTACATAGACATTCGAAACTATGCTATAAAGTTTTTTCAAGAGATATTGGCTCCTGTAGGACATGGAGTTTCGAAGCCAGAGTGGCTCCAATGTCTCTTACTTCCTCACATCTCACACTTCAGCTGTCCTGGGGTAGAGAGCGAGGGGTGTAGAACGGGGGGAATATCTCCTGAATGACTGTGTAGATTGCTGTGCAGTAAGGATGACCTACAGGGAAGAATAATGCCTGAGGCTGCCCTGCTATAGCAAACTGTGGTTCTGTATCTTTCTGAGTAGCCTGGTGCCATATGTGGCCTATGAGAGCCTTGTGATCTTAAGAGTTTACTTGAAGCTAAGAAAACCCCCTAGTGGGCAAAATTCTTCCAAATTTTCCTTTGATTCATAAACAATATAGATATCATTGTTTTATAGCCTTTCATAACTCCAATATCTCTACTATTTCAAAGGCAGGTTTTTGTTGCCTGATGTGTCTGCTGGTTCTCATGCATGAAGTCTAGTTTTTTTGTGTATGTTCATTATCTTTGAGTATGTACTATAAACTGTATTTGAAAAAATAACTTTCAAATAATTCGAGACCTACATAAGGGCTTTCCTGTTAGGCACCTGGGGGTACTCCTAGCTTGGAACCACCTTAAACCTTAAAAGGTGTGACAGATTTCAAGGCTTTCAAGGGAGTAATAGAGAAATTCTACACCAGTTTTTATCCTAAAGATGCTTTTGGTGGCTGTGACCCTATAGTGGGATAATCATGGGATTCTTGCCAACTGTGAGGATATCTTAGACTGAGAACCCAAGAAACGAATTTCTTGTACTCCTGGCCTCACAAAGCCCGAACAACAAGTCCATGAATTATCTAATGTTGAATCTGAGAGTGGTCATTACAATTGTTTCCTACTTGAATAGTTATCTCATGTCCTGCTTCAAAAATGATATCCAGAAATTATGGCTTGGGACCATATTCTCAATTTTTAGGTGAAAAATAGTCTCCCAAAACTTCAGCACAATAAATTACTCCCTCAGATGACAGTGAAGTGTATGGATTTGGAATCAGAAAAGGATGAGTGTTCTTTTCAGAGATAGAGAAATTGATAGAGCAGTTGAAATTATGCCATCCAGTCCTCATGACTTACGCATGAGGGAAATCCTTGCCTTACCCAACTAGCAGATACTGAAAGCCTCCAGCAATAGAGCTACCAAAATGAAAAATAAATTTTGGTCTAGCTCAGTTCCCTTCTGATTCATATGCTCTTGAAATTTTGAAAACATTTTATTCATTTTTTTTTTTTTTACTGTTTCAGTATGTATATTTCTTTTGATCTATCTTTAAGTTTATTGTTTAGGTTTAAAATTTGTCAAATACTGGCAGTTTAATTTGGTTCAATGTAATATATTAACTGAATGGGCAAATTTGAAATTTGCTTATAGGCTGCTAAACAACATTAAAAAAAAAAAAGGCTTTGCTCATTTACTCCTATTGACAGTGTATAAAAATATCCATTTTCTTTCATTCTTTCCAACATGATATCAATAATTTTTATGAACATGAGGAGGAGGTGAGGGAACTCCTGATTGATAGCTGGTCAGCCCAAAGGTGACAACTTGGACTTGAGACTGGCTTCTGAAATGGGGGCAGTCTTGTGGGAATGAGCCCTTAACCTGTGGGCTCTGTTCTAACTCTGGCTTGTTAGTATCAGAGTTGCTTAATGCGAGGAGGATCACCTCAAACTCCCCCCCACCCCGATATAGTTGGTGTCAAAAGTGCTATGAGTAGAGGAAATAAGTTTTTTTTCTTTTAATGTGCATGAAAAAGAAACTGCCTTTAAACTCACTTAGCTTGGTAAAATGAGTGTCCCACAGATCTCTTGTAGGAAATAGCCCTTCCCTATCTGAGTTTTCTGAACCGAACCAAACACCTTCCGTTTGAGCTAGGATAACAATTTTTCTAACCGAAACTGGGAGGATAATGATGTGATCTCAAGAAATCCTTGAACTCCTAGACCTCTAATCTCATCTGTTTCATTTAGCCTCATAGACCATACTTTTTGAAACTGTAGAGACAGGACCGAAGGCTGGGCCATGTAAGGGACAGCATTGTGTCTAATGCCAAAAGAACAAAGACTTGGATTTAAGAGGCATGAGTAGCAGAATGGGAAAGAATATGGTTGTGACTTTGGAGCCACCTCAGTCCTCCCTGGGTTAGCATTTGTCATCTTCTTACTTAGGTCGCTACTCAGGAATTCTGTTCAAGCCTTTGTGACTCAGAAGTGGGCACAAACATAGCTACCTTCCTTCCTTCCTTCCAAGACAGTTTTCAACTGACAACCTTGACATAAACCACGCATTACACCCATGTTATGTCATCTTTATGGAGTCAGGTGAGGAGAAGGAAGACCAGATGATCCAGTCTGGAATACCAACTGTCTTGAACAGGGTCTTTATTGAGTTCTACCCTAATATCTTAAAGTATAGTTGTAAATAAAAATGTCTCTCTTTGTCCCTCTTGACTACAAGAAGCTTGTGCTCACCCTCTGACAAGTCAGAGTATGACAGTACCCCACGTGCTGAGCCACCATGAATATGTACGTGATTTATTTCTTGACTCTCATTGCACTTCTGTTGCAAAGAACTACTCTTCCCCATAGGGAACCTGGCTTTGACTGAGTTTCAGCCTCCTCCCCTTCCACATGATAAAGCTCCTAATTGCCTGAGAAAAGATTCCTGAGTTACAGTGTAGAGAGAAGCATACTCAGAGTCAACTAGCAATAATTCTGTGTCTGTTAAATCTTATATCACTACTGCACAAAACTAGACTTGGAGCTAGTTTGCGTGTCTCTACACCATTTCACTTTTTGACTGTGATCAACTTACTTGACCTCTTTTAGCTTTGTGTCTCATGCACAAAATTGAGATAATAGTAAGATATTCTCAGCTAAGTAAAACGTCAGAGTGTGCCAGCCTTGTTTAGATGGACAAATCTACTTAAGTTTCTGTTACTCGGCCTTTCTAGTAAGTTTTATTATTTTTTTTTCACTTCCTAGAAGCTATTGGGGGAAGAGAAGTTAAGTTGTGGAAACGAGGAACAAGTTACACTGTGAGTAAAAGTCAACCTTACCCATATGCACTGGATACAATCCTAGGAAACAAAGTCACTGTACAGACATTTTCAGCGATTAAGACTCCTTATGTGCTTCTTCTGATTCCCAAAGGACAAGATATTCATTCAAATAACTTTCTCCCATGACAAAGTATTGCCGAGTCCATCAACCCCACCTACCCACCCCTAGTGGTTCTGTGAGTGTTTGAAAGTTCGGAAAAACTGATCTGACTCCCACAAACCTCCATCACAGAGCGAAGGTGAGTTATTGTCCCGACTATGCTGGAGGAACTGTAGGCAGAAGCATTAGCTCAGTCACTAGAGTAGAAACTAGATGAAATAGTATCGCAATGTAAAATGCTCTTCAAACTGTCCACTTTATTTATAGCAACATTTCCTTACCACTGCTCCAATATGCCTCCTCTCATAGGTTATTACAAGGAAAATATCACTACCATTATTCATCATTAATCTCTCGGAATATTGAAGGGCAGAGTAAAGTGCTTAGAGAAAGTCTGAGTTATGTTGCCATAAAGGGGGTCACTTTTTTCTGCATATCTGTCCGATGTTGAAAGGATTGATAGTATGCAGATAGTCAGCATCTTCATAGATAGATTTGCCATACGCTGAGATAGTTGTGAGAAAAAGTGATAAAATAGAGTGTCTATAGAAAACATTCTATACGTTAGAATTCCACAACCACGAAGTTTGATAATATTCTGTTGCCGCTGCTTGGAGCATGAAATCGGTGACAGGATTCTCCTGAAAAGAGTTCATCCTGGTGATTATTTTTATAAAAAATGCAAGATACATTTTTAGGAAAATCACTAAGACTAGAAATAGGGTATAAAAACTCCAAACCATGAGAAGAGACGAATTAAAAAAGAAAAATAGCAAATAATAGAAAAACTCAACTAAAAAAACAAGAAAATATAAAATATTTATCAATAACCAATAATCGAAACATCCTGAATCCAAACTTATGGGATGTAGCTAAAATAGTAATTAGAATAAAAAGGAAACTCACGTAATAGGCCAGAATTCTAGGTTGACAGATTGTTTTTCTTCAGTGCCTAAAAGATATTGCTACATTGTCATCTCGCTGGCATCGTTTCCAATAAGATATCGGATGTCATCCTTACTTTCATTTCTCTTTCCATAACATATCTTTTTAAAAATTTTTTTCCTGGATGCTTTCAAGATTTATTTCTCCTTATTAATTTTGAGTGATTTGCTCATGATGCCCTTATATTGTATTCTTCATAGCCATGTGTGCACACGTGCTTGGGTTTGTTAAGTTTCTTGGATCTATGAATTTATAGTTTTCATTAAGTTTGGAAAATTTTGGGCCATTATTACTTCAAACATGTTTTCTGTCCACAACTCACCCTCCTTACTTTTCAGAAGCTCCCTGCAGATCTCAGGAATTCTCTCTGTGCAGCTTTCTCCTTTCCTCAGCCATTTTGGTCTCTCCAGACTCTCAGTTCCATCTTCTAAACTTAGGGACTCCAAGGCCCTCTGCCTGAGTCCCTCTCCCTGCCCCACAGCCTGGAGCCCCTCTCCGGGCAGTAAGCCAGGGCAATCAGAGGCTCATTTCTTTTCTTCCCCGTCCTTCAGGGTGACTGCTTTGTTGCCTGCTATCCAGTTTTGAAAACCATTATTTAAAATATATTTTTTAGTTTTGTTGTCATTTCAGGTGATAAAATAAATCCAGTCTCTGCTATTCCATCTTGGCTGGAGATCTGGTACGTTATTAATAATATTTTAGTTCTTAATTTGAGTGATGGGTTCATAAGTATTCATTTGCTCATTGTGCATCATAACCATACACACATATGTATTACACCTTCTTTCATTTGTATAAGATATTTCATAATTTTTAAAAGTTCTGAAAAGATAGATTTTTTTTTCTTCCCCTGGGATGGAACGAGGGCAAAAGAAGTCGGAAGTGTTTGTGGCCAAAACCTTTACCTTCCTCTGCCTTTCTGACTCCTCTACTCCTTCTTGACCAACTCTCTCCTGCTCACGTCACCATGACTCTGAGGGTGTTTACCTGACAAAGCAGGATGGTCAAGGGAGCAGGTGCTAGCTTGGGAGACAGGCAAAATCAGTTTTCATACCCTATGATCCAACAAACCACTGCGGGCTCTTCCACTTAGGTACTAGATGAGGGCCTTTCAGAATAGTGCTGACTCACTCTATCAGGTAAAAGTTAGGGGAAGGGTTCGTGTGAAGAGGTAATAGCTATTATCTATTGTATTAGGAACACGAGCTACGTAACTGTTTTACCCCTTCTCTTCTCCGTCCCTCCTCCTGCTCGCTGCCCTGGCCTTTTTAATCTTGCCAGAGCCCTTTGCTGCCACGGTGCAGGAACAAAATCAAAATGCAGTTATTTGCTCTCTTAGGAATTATGGAAAATGCATGCAAAAGTAGATAGACTGAGCTTTCTAATGATTTGATCTAAAAAGCTTAGGAGGAAATCTCAAGGGCACATGGGACAATTAGACATCAGGCTTGACAAATATCTTCATGATGACAAGAAAAGTTGGGTTATGAGAAAAAGAAATGGACAGGAAGGACATCCCAAACGGAATCAACCTATAAAAGACATATGATAACATGACCAGAAATTAACTAAAAACTAGGTGATAAAACTCGAAAGTCATACACGAAGATTCCATTTGTAAAAGTTGATGGAATCACTTTGAGGATGCGGGAACCAAAGAAAGATTTGCTCGATCAAGTAGTAAGAATAAAAATCCAACATAAATTGAATTTCTAATGGAAACTTGAAATTGACCAATGGGGAACTTTTTATAATGAATGGTGGTTGAAGAAAAACATCAGATAAAGTTTATCTGAATCTCCTGAAAAATACTTGTAGCGATAGTAAGAACATAAAGGTAGTATATTTCGGCCGGTCAAGAGATGTTCTATAGCATACAGAACATATTAAGCAAAATTGTGCTGTAGACAATTATATACAATTATTTACCTAAAATTTAGATGATACTTTACAATAGTTTAAAAAATATATGATTGTTAAAGAAAGGATGAGTAGGGAATAAAGGATTACTGACTTTTTTTTTACTTATAGCGAGTGCAAAAATAAAATACATTTTTTGGTCAATTCTTTATGATATTTAAATTATCTTACCTTTTAAAAATATATCAAATAATTGTTCACAAATTATTTTCTATTGTAAGAAGAGAACAATTTTAGTTAAAAAAAAAACACACAAATAAGACTTTGCATCTACCTTTGAGAAAAGTGTATTCGTGAAGTGATTTTAAATCTATGAATTTTACAAATATGATAGAAAATATCAATATATGAAAATATAAATGTCACATATAGAAGTAAATTCTCCTAATGGTCCCTAAGAGCACGATGATTTTCACCGGCCATTAATTATTGGAGAATCCTCCGACTTAGTTACAATGTTTGTTCTATTATCTCCTAATTCTTTTTACATGGATTTCAAACCTATCTCAGTGGCTATTTCTTCAACATTTGGAAACTACAGGTTCTTATCGGAAAAGAAGTATTCCTCCTTCCAGGTGATGGATCTCTTCCGTTCCTCTTTCACAATGATACTCATTCATTCCCCCGTGTTTTTCTGGTCAAGGGAACATATTTACTCATTTTTCAAACAAGCTAACTAGCTATGTTACTACAAAGCAGAAATTGTAAGGGATGGGGTGGGCACTGTTATATTCTATTTGCATGAGCGTAAAGGAAATCACACTGTCTGGTTTTGAATCCTGCTTCTACTTTTTATAACTTAGGACAAGTTACCAAATTTCTCTTTGACTAGTTTCCTCATTTGTAAAATGGAGGTCACAGTGGTGTCTACTCATAGTTTATAGTGAGGATTAAATGAGAAAAATACATAGCAAGCACATTTGCCTGGCACATTATAAATGCTCTACCATATATGCAATGATGATGATGACAACAGACATCTGACAGCATCCCTCCAAGAAAAAATGACAATTTCCTTTGAGTAGTGCTGATTCTAGGACTGTGTCCTATAGAAATAATAAGTCGAGTGTTTAAAGATAGGCACAAGACTATTTATTGCCATTCTGGTCATAACGGTAAAGCATAACAGTAAAGAAATGACCCGCATGTCCCTGGAGAAAGATTGATGAAATAAATTGTGGCACATCTGTGCAGTGGAAAATTTTGAAGACAAAATTGTGTAGTAGTTGTGCATATAGGCTTTGAGTGTATATTTCAAGGAGCTGAGTCTTCTTTCGTCTCTCTCAGAACATTCTGAGTTCTTCCTAGATGTTTCTTCCCTGTTTCATATTTGTATCAGTCAGCTATTGCTTTATAATAATTTCAAAATCTCAGTGGCATATAACAGTAAGCATTTCTTTCTCACTTAAAGTTTTCAGGGCAGCTAGGGCAGCTCTACCTCAGGCTACAATGGCTAGGACATCTCTGCCTCACATCGAAGCAGGCATGTTCTTATCGTGACAATCACAGAAGCATAAGAGGGTGAGAGATATGTGACACTTCCTAACATCTAGGTTCAGACTTCCACCCGTATTTCATTGGCCAATGAAAGTCACACTGATGAGCCAAAGCCCAGGGTCAGAGAAGTACCCTCAGCCTCTCACGAGGCTGTGCAGATAGTATAGATTTAAGGTAGGGTGAGAAACTGGGGCTAGCAATTCAATCCACAACATTATTTGTCATCATTTAAAATTATCTGTTGGTGAGATTGCTACCCACGTCCCTTTGGTTATCACTGAACTCATCCTCCTTTCTGTTGAGTTTTCTTTCCCTCTTAACTAAATATTTAAACAATCTCTCTATATCTTAACAACTCTGCCTCAGGAACCAACTCACTTTAGTGGCATAGAGCTTCCCACCTATACTCTGAAACTCCATTCTTATGGATATTTCTGATCATATAATATGAGTTATTTTTCTTCTCTATAGCATTTACATTCAGTATTTAATTTCCTTGGATTTAGCCAAGATAAACACCCCAAATTCATAATGTCTTCAGGGAAATGGCTTTTTTTTTTTTTTTTAAATGCAAATGGTAAATTGATGTATTCCCAGAGAAATAGAGGCTAATTTGTATTAGGGGAGCTTGTCTCATAGAGGCAGATATAGAGCAATATGGATTCAAATAATCAAGTCTTGGAGGAATTAGCCAGGCTTTGAACCAATTCTAAAAATGAGAATTTGCCATATGCTAGCCCCAAGAAAGGTAATTGGTATAAGGAGAATACATTCAGAACAGAATGTCAATAAAACATCAGCCCTTCCCTTGGATTCTTAGAGTATTGTAAATCCAAATCCCAGAGTTTCAAACTGGGAGAGATGGGCTAAGAAGTATGAGAATGAAGAAAGCATGCTTCAAGAATTAGGGATGTATTTCCTAGAAAAGGAACATGATGAAAATGATGAGAAAAGGCAATTTCCTTCCTCTTTTCTAAGCTCGGCTCCAGAGTCCTCAGTGGAAACTCACCATCTTGCATGTTACAGATTTCGCTGCTCCCATCAATCAGCTTGGAGACAACATGTGGCTCTTGACAGCTCTGCTCCTTTGGAGTAAGTTGGGCTTGGAGGGGGTAACCAGGCACTGGCTATGGGAACTCAGGACTTTTTGTCTTCCTTAGGCTAGAACTCCTGAGTATGGAGACAACTGTATCTGTGCTTCTGTAGTTTATTGGTATTTATTATAGCAAAAGGATGGGAAGGGTGACTCCGATGTAATATCAAGCCTGGAAGCTTCATGTCAAAATAAAACCCCATCGATAACCATCTATAGTCTACCTGGTACTACTGGTACCTGATTTTGGGAAAGCAGGTAGAGAAAAACTAAAGAGACCTAAGCTGGCCCCTTAGAGTCTTATATTAATTCTGTCTTTCTAATTCTCCCGTCTCTGTCATCTTCCACTGAAGAACTGTCTCTATTGTTTGGTCTCTTTCAGTTCCTGTTGGTGGGCAAATGGGTGAGTAATGTCTAAACTCAGCTTCTCTTCCTCTGGCACATTCTTGCTTCTCAAAGTTAGGTTTCATTGTCCAGAAAAAGAGAGTATGGGGAGAGAATAGAAAGGAGAAAGATTTACAAATTATGTAAAGTCTTAAAATCTTGGTTTTTAAGGTTTTGCTCTAAGATTTTCTAAATGAGCCCTGACCTCTGGACTAAATGCCTAAATGTATATATAACAGCAGGAAAGGACCACATGGAAAGAGCTCTACTGGGTTTTCCAAACCTCTCAAACTACTCCCCTTTAGAAGAAGGCTGAGGTTTTGTTTTGTTTTGTTTTGTTTTGTTTTCTTCTCAGAGGGAATCAAGCAGGTATTGGAGGACTTGAAGTAGAAGCTGAACCTTGATTTCCAATGCAGATGCTAATTAAGGCCTGAGATTGATACTAGAGATAGTATAGCTCGGAGGATACGAAAATCAGCTCCAATCTCTTTGCCCCAGTTTAAAACCCTGCTTCATTGCTTCCCAACAGTGAATACTAAACCGGTCATTTAATTCTCAGGGACCCCAAATCGCCAGCACCAAGATTTAATAACAGGAACAGAGCTCTCTGCAGTAGGGTCTGGGCATTCTTAATGGCTGGCTTTTGTAGGTTCTCACTTGCTTATTTTCAGTCTAATCTGAATAGACTTGTTTTTTCCTTACTCTACCGATTGCTCAGAGTCTTTCCTTTTTCTCCACTGTTTTTGCTCCCTCCCTTCCCCCGGCCCAAAGCAAACCCCTCAAAGGCAGTGATCACCTTGCAGCCTCCGTGGGTCAACATATTCCAAATGGAAAGTGTAACGTTATGGTGTGAGGGACCCCGCCTGCGTGAAGATGACCCTACCCAGTGGTTCCTCAATGGCACAGCCATTCAGACCTTGACCCCCAGCTACACCATCGCTGCTGCCAGTGTCAGTGACGTTGGTGAATACACGTGCCTGACAGGTCTCTCAGTGCTAAGTGACCCGGTACAGCTGGAAATCCACGAAAGTAAGTATGGCATGGAGCAGGGCTGAAAATTACAGGTCTTCCTTTGTGTTTTCTCCTTTCTGGATGTCAGGTAGGGGTGTGTGTGTGTGTGTGTGTGTGCGTGTGTGTGTGTGTGTATGTGTGTGTGTGTCTTGATTTATCTGAGTGTGAGTCTCAGCTCTATGTGCCTACCAGGTGAAATTATGTCAAGATACTCAGAACATCACATTGAAGTCCTTAAACTGTGCCCCCCAAAGCACCCCAAACTGGGGTAGCTGTGAGTAGGGTGTCTAGAGTAAAACTCAGACCCAAAGATTTTATCATTATTCAAAATATCTAGTTTTGTTGAAGAAAGTTATGCCTGCCCACAGTAACTAATATTAATTTGGAGAAATGTACAGTGATGAGCAATAAAGTCTCCCTCCCACCCCAAACCCCTAGTCCTACAGTCACCTTCTACAACAACGGAACTGTCAATAATATAAACTTTTTTTAAGTGGTTGGTAGAATACTCTATATACTATCCTACATTTTACTTTTATCGCTTAAAATACCTTGGAGGTGTGTTTATATCAATAGAGATCTACTTTGTACATTCAAATGTCTGCCGTATGAGTGCGATTTAACCTTTTTCTCTATTAGTAAAGTTATAGTGTATTTCTGCTTTTTGCTTTTACAAGCAATGTTGCAATAGCATCTTTATACATAGATCTGAGGCACTTGTCATACCATATCTGTAAGGTAATATTCTGGACATGGAATCACTGTGAGACGTGAAGCATTTTAAACCTCAATAAATAGAAACAGAAAAAATCCTCCGTCCACTTAAATGTGTAAGAGGTTTCTACTTGTCAAGAGATGAGGACTCTTTAGGGCAAAATGTTTCATTATTCAGGACAAATCATTCAAATGAGTTAGTTAGTCAAAAGCAAAATGTTTCATTATTCAGGACAAATCATTCAAATGAGTTACTTAGTTAGTCAAAAGCAATAAGCTAAAACTTTCGTGTAACTGCTGATGCAAAAGTTAATCTGTGCTAGAGGCAAAATTATTTACGTGGACTAGGTTGCTTTTGGAGGAACTGCGTTTTAGCTAAGGAAATGTTGAGAATGTCAGAGGAAATGCAAGGTGTTGCTCATGTGTCTCTTAAGGCTCTGGGAATTGGTTCTTATGCTAGAGAGTGAAGGGAGCTGACAAAAAGAGTTTTAACAAGAGGCTGTGTAGTCTGAGCAGAAGCAGAAGTGCTTCATGGTTCAAGTGGCAAAAAACGAACTAGGGCCGGGAAGAGGCCATTTTCTTTGGCGATTTACCGAGAATAATAGCTTTCACATTATTATCTACATTACATATTACATTATGTCAACGAAAAGTGTGCTGCCACCAATCCAATCCTAACAGGGTTCCCCCAAGCTGAGGTACGATAAAAGGAGAAACTTTATTCAGACAACAGTTACCTATAGAGTAAGATGCAGCCAACAAAGGACCACGACACGGTGATCCTTCTCCCCTGAGACAAAGGGGAGGCCCACTTTTATAGAGAAAGTTCCTATCCTGGTCCCTGATTGGTCCATTTCTAAGCAAGTGAGAATTCCGAATTTGCGGTCTGATTGGTCCAAATAGCACTGTCCTGATTGGTCATTATGGAGTGGCTCTGATTGGTCAGTAAAGATGTAAATAAGCATATAGCTGTGCAGTTCCAATTGGAACCTAGGCAGGCCTCACCTCATTAGTTGAAGGATAGTTTTAGGAACTCCTCTGTAAGGGTGGGCTTGGCTGGCAGGAATGGAGTGCAGGAGGATGGCAAGTTTATTCCCTGGGTCCCCTCTCCCCAAACTGCAGAGCGCATGAGAGGCCCCTGTCAGCAATGTCTGCTAGACTTTGTTTATGAATTTGAGCCCAATTAACCACAAGGAGTACTTCTGGGCAGGTATATTTCTTCTTGGGGGTCAACAATTATATGTCTTTTCACATAATATTTTAATATGAATTTTATTGAAGTATAACATACGTACAACAAACCTTAAGTGTACACCTCAGTAAGTTTTCACAAGGTAAACAGCACTCAGATAGAGACATAGAACATTTCCAGACTCTCAGACACTCTCTGTGGTCCGTTTCTAGTCACTACTTCTATTCCAGCACTGACTTCTAATACCATAGGTTTTCACCTGTTTTTTGTTTATTTTTTTTAACTTCATATAAATGAATATAGTGTGTAGTATACCATACTGTAATGTAGTATGGTACAGTATGTACTCTTCTGTGTCTGGTTTCTTTTATTCACATTGACTGTAAGATTCATAGATGTTATAAAGTTACAGTTTGTACTCGTTACTGTGTAATATTCCATATTTTTATCTATTCTATTGATGGACTCGGGTTGTTTCTAGTTTGGGCTTCTTACAAATAGTATCGCTGTGGACGTTTTTGTACAAGTCCTTCGATGCACATATGTACACAGATCTGTTGGAATAGCCTAGGAGTGGAATTGCTGGGTCTCAAAGTATGCATATATTTAGCTTTAGTTTTCCAGAGTGGTTAGACCAGCTCACACTCCCACTGGTGGAATGTGAGTTGTGGTCGCTACACATCCACTCTAGGTGTTTTCTGTATTTTTCATTGTAGCCATTCTGGTTAATATGTATCACACTACCATTTTGATTTGCATTTCCATGATGACTAATAATATTGAGCATTTTTCACATGTTTATTACCTATTTGGATATCCTCTTTCGTAAAGTAGCTGTCTAGGTCTTTTGCCAAGGTTTTTTTTTTCTTGTTGTCTGCCTTTTCCTTATCAACTTGTAGGAATTCTTCATATATTCTGGATATGGGTCCTTTTTCCAGTGTTGCAAATATCTTCGACCCTGTGGCCTGCCTTTTTGTTACCTCATTATGTTGTTTTCTTTTTCAGTGAGCAAAAGTCTTTAATTTTACTGACGTACGATACATCAAGTTTTTTGGGTTGATATTCCCTCTCTATGCTCTATTTTAAAATGTTTGTCACAGTTAGTCAGCAGTGGAGGATTCAATTGCAGGTACACGAGCTCTCAGTCACTTTAATTAAATCTGCATGTATTGAGACCAAGAAACTACAGCTGGTCCATGGACCCAAGTCCTAATTTTATGGTTCAGAGTGAGTGTCCCCATCCTACTCAAAGGTGATAAAGATGGGGAGAATGGTTTTTGAGTAGGAATTAACAATGTTAAAAGCTGCATCTCCCAATTTTTGATATGTAATATTCCCATTATCATCTAAGGCTAAATATTTTAAATTTCCATTATAATGGTTATTCTTTCTTTCTTCCCTCCTTCCTTCCTTCTTTTACTCATGAATTATTTGGAAGTTTTTTGAGAGGGTGGTATTTGTTACTGATTTCTACTTTTATGGCACTTTGGTCAGAATTTGTGTTAAATATGATATCAGTTCCTTGATATTTGTTGAAAATTGCATTGTGGCCTGCTGCATGCTCAGTTTTTATAACCCGCATATGTGTTTGGAAAGTATGTGAATTTTCTCTAAAGTACAGTATTCTATGTAAATCCATGAAGTTCGGTCTATTACTTGTGTCGTCCACATATTTTATGTCAGCACTAGTATTTTCGACAGCTTCTGATGGAGGTTTGCTAAAACATCCCACTGTGTTTGTGGATGTATGAAGCGCCTGCGTGTTCAGGCCGTGCAGCCTTTGAGCACCTCTTGGCTGAGAACAGGAATGAGGCAGGAAAGAGTATTCACTGTGTCTGGAGCACTATGGCAGCATCCAAGCCCGTAGCAATCACGCTACATACGGCACTGGCATACCTGCCTTCCATTCTTAGATAACTTCTAGAAGGGAAAGCATACTGTCTTTTGTCTGCTTTTGTTCCTTAAAAACCTCATCCTCATTTAGCCAGACCAACTGCCCAGGGAGGGAAAAGGTAAAGAAGGTGATTTGGGTTATGTGTAGAGGAATCTGTCACCAGGGGCCTCGTTTGACTTGGAGCTTTTTTCTACCAGCTGTATCACTGGTCTGCGTATATGTGAGCATTCCTGTCAATTTAGAAACAAACAGACATCTGGATATGTTTGACATCCTGCATGTTTGTCTTAGTATGTGTGACTTCATTACTATGTAATCAATTATTGCAATATCAGTTTTCGATTGCTATGTAACCAATTAACGCAATCTTAGCTTAAAAACAACATAGAAATATATATACGCCTTACTGTGAAAATGTACAGCTGAAACTGATGGGATTTCGTTAACCAATGTCACCATAAAAATAATTAATTAATTAATTAAAAACCAAACAAACAACAAAAAAACAACATACGTTGATTACCTTTCCACGGGTCAGGGTCTCTACCCAGCCTAGCTGGGTACTCTGCTGAGGCTGCAGTCAGGATGTTGACTAGGCTGTGGTCTTCCCTGCAACTCTTCTAAGCTCACGTGGTCATTGGCAGAATTCAGTTCCTTGTGGCTGCTTTTTTGCTGGCTGTCAGCGAAAGACCAGTCTCAGCTCCTGGAGGCCCCCTGCCATATGGCCTTCTCATAGGCCCTGTCACTACACGTCAGCTCACTTCCTCAAAGCAGCTAAGACAGAGACTTATAAAATGTAACATCATTACACAATCAGAGGGATTATACAAGAGAGTCACTCATTAGGGTAACCTTAGAGTACAGCCTACCACATAGAGTAAAGTGCTTCTGTTCCAACCAACTTCTAAGATTTGGAAGGGGACGATAGGAAGGGGCTGCGTGCGAGGCTGCTGGTAACAAAGCTAAAGATATTTGAAGAATGGGAGACAGGCCTCAGATTCAGTAGAGCTTCAGGTTGGAATGTTGCGAAGAGAAATAGATAAAGCCCCAGGGTTCGGGTTTGGGCTCCTTGTACCTCTGCCGCTGTATAAATACATGTCGGGTCCACGTTTTCCAGATTGGCTACTACTCCAGGTCTCTAGCAGAGTCGTCACCGAAGGAAACCCTCTGGCTTTGAGGTGTCACGGATGGCAGAACAAGCTGCTGTACAATGTGCTTTTCTATCAAAATGGCAAGATCTTTCACTTTTCTCCTAAGAATTCCGAATACACCATTCTGAAAACCAACCTGAGTCACAACGGCATCTATCACTGCTCAGGCACGGGAAAGCATAAATTCACGTCGGCGGGAGTGTCTATCACTGTCAAAGGTATTGCGTCTGAATAGTCATATAAAGCTATAGTTTTAAGGACCAGGAGAACTGTCATAAATCATCGCTTCAGCTTGCAATTGAAGAAACTGAGCTCCAGGAAGGTAAACTGCCTTACCGAGGGGATGACCGGGGTGGGGACCAGAACTGAGGTCTTCTGGGTCCTGGTCCATTGCTCTTCCTGGCATACCGCGGTGCCCCATCAGCGACCCCAGGGCATAGTGAGGACCCATTTCACCAATTTTATTTTAGTTGCGAGGAAGAGAGACTCACCCAAGGTAGCTAAGGAGTTATTAGAAAACCCGTGGAATCTTGTAAAAGCTCCATGGAAACAGAGGCCAGGAAGACGTGAAGACTTGGTTCCACTCTCCATCGCTCAGGGAAAATGTGGCCTCTTCGGTTCTGTGTCTTTCTGAACAGCTGACTAAGCAGCTTCCTTTCTTCCAGGCGCATGTGGCCCTTTTTGTGACTTTTTCATGGCCTTTCAGCTCAGTACTCATAACCACTAGCAGCTTTTTCCTGTCTAAAAAATAATTAATTCCTACAGGAAAGAAATTATTATCCCAGAATATTGAGGCAGGAACACAAGTAAGGAGTCACTGAACTGGCTAGTGTGTGGATGTGTCCACTCCAGGTCAACCACAGGGCATGGTCATATACTAAATAACATGGCTGTTCAAGGAGGCATGGGCCATGTATTCTCCCCAGGAGGGTGTGAGCAAGCTGGCAACTGTGAGTGCATCTACAAGTGGCTCTGATTGGTCAGTAAAGATGCTGGAAGTGGGAAAAATTATGTTTTATGATTACATCTTCTTGGGGCAGTTTCCCAGAGGAGGAGGGGGGATATCTTCTGCAAAAAGAATCTTGGCTCTGAGGTAGGCAACTGTCAACTTTTTCTTTAGAGCTGTTTCCAGCCCCAGTGCTGAGAGCATCTTCGTTCTCCATCCTGGAGGGGAGTCCGGTCAACCTGAGCTGTGAAACAAAGCCGCCCCCGCAACGCCCTGCTGTGCGTCTCTACTTCTCCTTCCACGTGGGCGGCAGGGTCCTGAGGGATAGAACCTCCTCCTCTGAGTATCAGATAGTGACTGCTACAAGAGAAGATTCTGGGTTCCACTGGTGTGAGGCCTCCACGGAAGATGGAAATGTCATCAAGCGCAGCCCTGAGTTGAAGCTTCAGGTGCTTGGTGAGTGAGAATGATGGGGACAGCCAGGCCCAAGAGAAGATGCTCCCTTTCCTGCGGGGCTGAGGTCTGTTCTGGGGATTCGTGGCCTGGCCGGGAAGAACCTACGAACAGCCTTTTCGCTTTCGATTTAAAACTTCACTAATTCTCCTCTTAAACATCATTAAGTTTCCTTTTTTTCTCTTTTTCTTTCATTTCTTTTCCTTTCCTTCCTCTATTTATTCTTTCCTTTTGTCCTTTTTTGGTCTCTCTCTCTCCCTCTTCCCTTCATGCCCTCCCTCTCCCCTTCTCGCTCACCAGCAATCTAAGCAACAATATGTTGAGTTCCCCCATCTATTGTCATAGGAATTGGGATATAAAGACACTAGACTTGAAGTTTTTACTTCAAGGAGCTTACATGGTGCCATGCGGACTTTGTGGATTGCACATAAATACCTACCCAAGTGTCTACTTGGCTAAGGTGGAGGGATTGTGAACTCTAGAACAAAGACTCTTTGGGGAAAAAAAAAAAAGTTTATCTTCAATCCAAATTCATTTCAAGCACTAAATGGTACAGAAATAGCGGTCGTCACTGAAACTACAGCGCATGTCCACTGAGAGGGCCGTGGCAGTTCAGCCCTTATGAGGAGCCTGCCGCTTGTCTGCATACCATACGGCCCAGCTGGAGCCGCCTCCAGCGCCTTCCTGCTCTGAAATTATGGCGTCTCCACTGGGGGCAGGCGTATTAGGGCTTAGCCAACCTTGTCTTCTAAACAGAACTCCGTCACAGCCCTCTGGTTTCTAAATAGCATTTCTTCTCTTTGTCGTTTTCTTTCTCAGGTCTCCAGTCACCAACTCATCTCTGGTTTCACGTCCTTTTCTATCTGGTGGTGGTTACCATGTTTTTGATGAACACCGTCTTCTATGTGATAATACGTAAGGAGCTTCAAAGAAAGAAAAAGTGGAATTCAGAAATCTCTTTGGACTCCGCTCATACGAGGAAGGTCAGCTCCTACCTTCAAAGAGATAGACATTTAGAAGAAGAGCTGAAATGTCAGGAACAAGAACAGCTGCAAGAAAGGGCACAGCAGAAGGCCCAGGACGGAGAGCAGCAGCAGCGGCAGCTCAGCAGTTGCGTGTAGATCCAGGCAGTCGCCACCCTTCTCCTCTGTGGACGTGTTGGAGAAACAACATCCAAGAGCTGAGACATGCTAGAACTGTGAGTTTCATGGCATTTGACTAGCACTTAAAGAAAGTGAATAAAGGAGTTGACTTCAATGAAGGTAAACTTGGAAATTCAGTAATCGGATGAGTTGATGTGATGCCTACTCTAAAATAATCTTTAAAAACTTAGAAGTTGGGTCTAACCTGATTATTGTATTAGGTCGTTTGAGCAATAATATATTTCTGAGGACAAGGTGAAAAGGTAAGTGCGTGCATATGTTCAAGAGCTTAAGACAAAGAAAGACAGACAGACAGGATGAGAGACAGAGCAGAGAGAGGCTACGAGGGAGACGAGGGAGACGTAACTTACCAAGGACTTCCGAGAATCCGTGAGGACGGGAGCGCACACCCGTGGGGTTCTCAGGGTGGCCGTGTCCCAGCTCTTCTCCTTTCGCACACTGGCCGACTAACCCCCACCAGGGGACTAACCCTCAATGAGACGTGGGTGCGTTATTTTCACCCTTTCATCTGAGGCGTTCTCACATCCTCTCTGTGTGCGGAGACACCCAGGGTGCCGTTTGTCTGTCCCAGTCCCCTGCCCTACAGAAAGGCAGAATGTCACTGCTGCGTTCCTTAATTGGTTAAACCCGGATCTCCAAGCCGGGCACTGCAAGGAGAAGCTTCAAGTGGGGAGGGGAGATGATGTCATAAAGCCCAGCTCTTCATTCCAGATTTACTTCACCGTCTTGATTTTCTGGATGGCTACTAACTAACTTCAAGATATGCTACTCTCTCACTTGAGCTCCAGTTTGGGGACAAAATATTTCCCCACTACACCCCAATGCAGTTGAGATAAAAACCAAAATGTGTGAATACGACTTTATTAGAGCTTAGAAAAAACCAAAAAAGGTGTCAACAAACTTAGCAACCTAATTCTAGATTATTTGATTTTTATACATGTTGCTTATCTGACAAACGAGGACACATCCTTGCCTAGCCTGTTCTGGCTTCACACAGTAGGGCTTCGTCTTTAACGTCATCACCTAGAAGCATCCTCAAGAACTTGGGACCTGAAGTAGCACCTTGCCCAGTCCTTCCCTCCTCTGTGGGCAATGAGAATGCCCTTCTCCCCTCACCTTCAGAAAAAAAGCACAATGATGATCATTTCAATAGAAGCACAGCGGCTCTGATATTTGTGTTAAAAGAAATGGTCATATATAACAGCGGGAGTTCCATCGACTGCACATGACGCTTGCTGTCTGTGGAAGCAGCGAGATGAGTCTCGCAGCAGAGTCTGGTGGGAAGGAGGAGGACCAAAGACGCTCTGTGGAGAGACCGTCCAAAGAGGACTCTGGCCTGAGGAATCGGGACGTGACGCGGGAAGTGACATTCACACTTGGAGGAGAATGCTCTGCCCCCCCTGACGGGGGAGAAACTCAGAGAAAGGGCTCCCTAGGGCAGAAGGTCAGGGGTGGACATGGAGCGAGACAGAGCACTGATGACTTGGGGCGAAGCCGGAATGGAGCCAGTCGTTGCTAAAGCATCACGAAGTGCTTCCTCCTTCCCCACTCTCTTTTTTGTTTCTTTTCCAGATTTTTCCATGCTTGTATCTTATATACAACTTAATGCTTTAAAAATCGATTTGATTAAATCAATTTCTTACTTGAACAATTTGTATTTCAGTCCACCCTTATTTCTGTGTTATATCTGTGCTGAGAACAGGTTCTTGAGGGTCCCCCAAACTGATGCCTACCTGCCTGTTCCCCAAGCCTTGGTCCTGGCTCTGCTCAAGGCCTGGTACCACCTTGTACTTTCTCCAGGTGGGTGCCTAGGCCTTCCATTTTCCTACAGGGACAGGATGGTCTCTCCCTGACACTTGTCCCTATATATCAAAGGGCTCACTCCTCTTAATTTTTATTCCATCCAGTACTGGAAAACCACAAGCTATTTGTGGTTATCGAGCACTTGGAATATGGCTAGTGTGACTGAGGAAGGGAATTTTAAATTTCGTTTAATTAATTTGAATTTAAATAGCCACATGTGGCTAGCGACTACATTCAATCAATCAGCCTGATCCCCATAGAAGCTAGATGGATTCTGGAAATGACTGCAAGCTCAACCAAGTAGTAGCTACAATCCAGACGTGGCGGCTTAACTAGAGCAAATTAATATGACATCAGGTACATGCTATGTGACCAATAAATTGATGGCTGCATTCTTTTCTATCTGAATCACAAACGATTTTATAGTCACATGGAATGTACAATGTACAATATACAGATTTGTCTGAGAGCTAAGCTAACTTGTTTTCACCTTCGTCATCCTACAGAACTTCATATGAATCCATTCCATTGGTGGTATTATGTAAATCAGGCCAGATGGGCGAGAAGCGGCTGGCACACTGGAGGACTTGGTTGTCCGGAGGGTGGGAGGTAAATTCTGCAAAGATTCGGGGGACTACTACATCCATAAATTATAAGTCCAGTATGCAGGAACATGCCAGGACCTCTCCTCAAAATAAAAACCATGTTATTACATCCTGTACTTCCTACCTCAAAGAAATCACAGTAGTTGGTGGGCCTTTTCTGGTTTTAGAAGCAGAATATTTCATGTATAAGGATCCTTCTTTGGCCCGTATACCAGATAACATTGAAAGGCTGTCAGCTTTGATAGGACCTGGAGCGGGAAAGGTATATAGATGTAGATGTGAAAAAATTAATTTCATCTCTGTGTCCCGGATTTCATTTCATTTTTAAGTTTCATGCTGTGACCTTTGACCAGTCTCGCTGTCCTTAACAAGCATATCAAAGCTTTCTAGATGATCATTATCTGTGTCCCTTAAAATGTAGTCATTAGTGTTTTTGTTAGTAATGGCCAGAAGGGCAATGGCATGACAAACAAGATAAATATCAAACTGGTGATAGTATCGATTATAACAATCGTCTATCACAAGACCACCAGGAAGTATGGCCCCTGTGCTACTGCATGTTTTTTGTTCCTTTGTCTTGTCAATCATCAATACCTGAGCTACACTATTTAAAAAGCACAGCAACAGGGATTTGTAGCGGAGAAGAATCTGCACAGAATCTCTGGGTCGTCTGTTTCGCTCGGACCCAATCTTCCTGTAAGTAAATTACGCTATGATAAATTCTGTTATATTCTATGGAGTTGCCTGCTTTGTTTGTCGGTCTTAAGATACTTTCTCATCACAGTGGCCATTACACCTTTGTCCCCATCCCTGCCCCCGTCTGACAAAAGGGGCTTTCAGTAGGTCAGATGGCATGCAAGAAGTCCCTACCACTTGGGCCATATAATCCAGCAAACCCTGTGGCATTGGAAGTATCAGTGGTGGGAAAAGATACTGTGTAGAATTTGTGGGAAGCCCCATCTGGAAAATGACAACGCGACCCCCTATGATTCTGGAGCATGGTGATGCCATCTGCAACGGAGAATTATATGCCTTTTGATAAGCAATTCTTGGTGTGCTACTGGGCCCTGGTAGAGACAGACCACTTTTTAAAAAATCACTAAGTGACAATGAGGACAGAATTGCCCATCATGAGCTAGGTATAGTCATGTTTACCAAGTCATAAAGTCAGCGTGGCCCAGCAACAATTTATGATAAATTGCATTTTTGAGATCAAGCAGACCAAGATGGCACAAACGAGCTGAATGAGCAGGTACCCCCAGACACCCCCGGCACCTATCAGCACCTTTGGCTGCATGGGGATCCCTGTGATCAGCTGAAGGAGAGAAAAGAGTTTGCAATGATGGATGGATTCAATATGAGGCAGCCAACTGGAAACTGACAGCAACTCAAGGGAGGCCTTTAAAGATAGTAGTGAGTAAAGTCATCTCAATTTGCAAGGTTTCAGGGGCTGAACCTACTTTGTGCATAAAGAGAAACCAACAAGGTTAGAATATATAGACTCTGGCAAAAGCCCTGACTGGCTGATCTAGGAACTGGGAGGAAGAAAGATGGGAAGGTTAAGGACAAGGAAGTCTGTGGTAGAAGCGGGGGAGGGGGGGGGGACATGTGGGTGGATATGTGGGAGTGGGCATGAAGTGCGAAGATCTTTGTACCACATGTTAAGCAGAGAACAACACCCAAGTAGGAGGCTCTATGCATAATGGAAATGTAAGTGGACTAGCTACAGTGGCAGAGATGGAGACTATACATGAGCCCAATATCATGGACTCCCACACACCGAGGCTGATGTAGCTCCTGACTCCACTAAATGTTCAGCCTGCCAACGACAGAGACCATTGCTGAGCCTCTGATAATATACACCTTGAGGATACCAACCAGCCACTTGGTATCACCAACTTCACATTGGAGAAAGTGCAGAAGTGGGAATCAAACTCTCAATCATCAGCTTCCATATGGATTCATACATTACACTGTGCTAAGAACATGCCTGCTGTAAATGTTTGAAATGGTTCTCCTTTAAAAACCATACTTACCTCCCACAGTACAAAAGAAAGGCATATTTCTTGCTCTTCCTAAATTATGATACATTGCCCTGGGGATTTAAAAAATATCTCAGTGTACCAAAGAGACAAAGCCACTCTAAACCACGCTCTAAACCAGAGGTAAGTTTTGTGTCTATTTTGTACTCATGGGTGTTAGGGGCAAAGCTATGTGTTAGAAATGTATATTTTTGGCCCATGTTGAGATGTTCTGAATCCTAGTATATCGTAGGTACAGTAGCATTTATGACAGTTTTCATTTAAAGACTTTGCCTCTTCTTTATCATCAAAAAGTGCTTGGCTCCTGAGAGTCCTTTAAGAGCAAGGCATGAGAGTGTAAGTAAGAAATATTGATAACCGTGCTTCATTTCATTTAGGCAACAAACTTAAGCACAGCACAGCTCTGTACCTGTTCTAGTCACCTGTGAATCTGGCTGTATCAGCAAGCCAGGGTTCACCGTCAAGTAAAAGGAATACATTGAAGGTAACTTGGTGTTTTATATTTTCTCGAATAATTTAAAAGAAATCGTTTTATTTTTACCTGCCTCCCCCGCCCCCCCCTCGCACAAAAAGTACTGAATGCTGTAAATCTATAGAGTGCTTATATTTTTACTTGGTTGCAAATCTGCTTGCTATCAGTTATACATCATTTCTCTGTTCCTAACTGGGATGTTAGTAGATTCTATTGTAATCCAGCTACTTAACAAGGTCATTAATACATTTTTTTTTTTTTTAGCTCCACACTTAACTAGTAGCTGGAACCAGTGGCTCCGAGATGGATAGGCCACCGCGGTAGCTCTCCGACCCGCCCAGGCCCTGTGCTCCCAGCGTGTCCCGCGGCGGGCCGCTGGCGCCACGCCGTGGCCACCCGCGCACATTGCGACCTGAGCTCGCCACGGAGGCCGCCGCCGCGCGTGCGTGGGGCCCCGGCTGCGCGAAGCGAACAGGGGCACGCTTTCCGCAACCTCCCCTAAAACCCGAGAGAAGTTTTTTTGCTTCCCCGGAGCCGACAGAGTGCGTTGGTGGCATCAGCAGTGCGGGTGGAGGAGGGCGAGGGGTCGTGCGTGTCCGAGTCCCCCCGGTACCAAGGCGAGCACCCAACTCGTGAGCGGTCCCCTCCATCTCGCCGTTATCGTTTACTCGAGGCCGGCAGGTGTGAGGAGCCGGCTCCCGAGTCGGCCGAGTCACAGCCCCAGGAAGCATGGCGCGAAGC